GGCCACTGTGCCCCGCTGCCCCCCTCAAGCCGAGATAGGAGCCAGGTGTCCGAGCAGCCGGTGCCCTCCGCTCCCACTGTCGCATCCCATTCCCTGTCCTCCTGGAGCTGGGAAGACCCCAGGCGTCCGGGCTCCCCGTCCCCTGTGCTCCGAGCTGGGACGAACCCAGGCATCCGGGTCACCCCCAGGTAGTGACGTCGGGCTGCGAGACGGTGGACATGACGCTGCGGCGCAACGGGCTGGGCCAGCTGGGCTTCCACGTGCGCTACGACGGCACGGTGGCCGAGGTGGAGGAGTACGGCTTCGCCTGGCAAGCCGGCCTGCGCCAGGGCAGCCGCCTGGTGGAGATCTGCAAAGTGGCCGTGGTTACCCTCAGCCACGACCAGATGATCGACCTGCTCCGCACCTCCGTCACCGTCAAGGTCGTCATCGTCCCGCCCCACGAGGATGGCACCCCCCGCAGGTAGCGCCCTGGCCGCCGGGCCCGTCACGCCACCCCCTGACGGGTATCCCCTGGGATTTGGGTTAATTAACACTGGCCCTGATGACCCCGTTGCCACGGCAGGGAGTTGCGGGCATCCCCTTGGGTCCAGGTTGGCACCAGGGCCCAGGGGTCCTGACCTTGGAGCATCCTGTGCCGCCTGGCGGATGGGACCGGGGGCCAGGGCCCAAGCTTGGGGGGCAGAGAGCCCGGTGTCACCCGTCTCTCCCGGCAGGGGCTGGGCCGAGTCCCTGGAAGCGCAGGGCACGGAGCCCAAGGCGGAGCCGGAGAGCGCGCCGACCGGGTACCGCCCGCCCTATCGCAGCCACTCGGCCTGGCAGTGGAACGGCCCGGCCTCCCACAACCCCGGCGGGCGCTGGTCCGAGGCGCTGCCCCTGGGCCACGGCCAGTCCCTATCGCGCCCACCCAAGCAGGCCCCAGCTGCTGTGCCCTACCGCGACCCGCAGCCCCCGCACGGCAAGAGGTGAGCGAGGGGGCCGCGGCGACTCCGGCAGGGTCCCAGCTCCGTGTGGGCCGCGAGGAGCCATCAACCAAGCCTTTCCTCCTGCCAGGCCCGTGAGCTTCCCCGAGACCCCGCACCTGGCATCGCCGGCGGGCACGGAGCGCCCCCAGCCCTACCGGCAGCCCTCAGGCAGCTTCTCAACCCCTGGCTCAAGTGGGGCCATCTTCACCCGGTACAAGCCGTCCCCGGAGAGGTAGGTGCGGTGCATGCACCATGCACACAGCCAGGGACAGCCGGCTTCTGTCCCCCTGTGCCCAGAGCCTGGGGGGTCCGTGACACCCATGCGGCACGGGCAGGACCTCCCTGTGAGGCGTGCGGCAATTCGGGGCTGGGGCACGGCTTCCCACCCCACCGCGCCAGCTCTCGAATATTCACCCTCCCGGTGCCACGCTAACGAGAGCGCAGGGTTACATCCATGCCGCCTCTCTGCCACCCTCCCACAGATACGCGGCTGCCTCCCCCCGGTCCCTGCTGCCCTTCGAGCCCCCCAACTATGGCCCCGACGCAGGCTCCAGCGGCGACTCCTCGTCCGGGGGCCTCGCCAGCCAGGATAGCACCATGGAGCGGCACAAGCCAGGTAAAGCCGGGCGGGCTCGGGAACGGGGTGGGAGCTCTCCCCGGATTAGCCTTGGGGTGGGCTGACATCTGGCCTTGTGCCTCGCTGCAGAGCCCCTGTGGCACGTGCCAGCGCCGGCCCGGCTCCCGGCGGCAACAGCCGGCCTCGCCAAGCGGCCCAGCAGGCAGGAGCTGGCGGGCAAGGACTCCCCCAACCGGCCTCCCAAGGTGAGTGGGTCTCGCCCGTCCCCGGGTGCGAGGGACTGGTTGGGCCCCGCACGCGCCCGGCT